CCTCTCTGCCCCAGGAGCAGCAGGGGCCTCCAAGCAGCCTTCTGTGTTGCTGCTTGTGGGAGAAATTCTTACTTGGGACGCCAGCCAGCAAAGCAGAGAGGCAGGTACCTGTTTTAGTGCTATAGGGCTTGGCCTGGACACCCTCTGTCATGTGTGTGATAATCATAGCACAGTGTCGAGATCAGCATCTGATCACCATCCATGGCTTCTTAAACACGTACTATGCGCCAGGCACTGAGCTACGCACTTTTTAATGCATCACTTAGTTCACTCTCTCACAACTCGCTGGCATCAATCTTGCTTTACTGTTGGGGAACGGGAGGCCCAGAGAGATGGTGCAAGGCAGTAATTTGAACCAAGGCCTCCCTCCTGCTCTCCAAAGCTCATGCTCTCACTGTGGCACCTGCTAATTCTGTAGCACCCAAGCAGGTCTGGGTGGGCTCCCCTGCCCCCATCCCAGGAGGAACCCAAGCTTTAGGAACCTCCTCAGGAAAGGCCCCACGGGCCATGACCTTCGAAGATCCCCCAGAAGCCGCCTGCAGGCATACCTGTATTAGTTATCTGTCGGCATAACAAATTGTCACTAACTCAATAGCTTACCACAACCACAGTTGCGGGTTCAAAGTGCTGCAGGTCAGACATCCAGGCCGTCACTGCTTAGTGGGTCTTCTGCTCGTGGTCTCACATGCTGAAAGTCAGGGTGTCAGCCAGACTGGGTTCCTTCTGGGGGATCTGGGGAAGAATCTGCATCCATGCTAATTGTGTTGTTGGCCGAATGCAGTTGCTTGCAGTTGCAGTTGTAGGATTGACATCCCTGTTTCCTGCTGGCTGTCGGCTGGGGTCACTCTCAGCTCCCTTGGCTGCCCACATTCCTTGCCACGTGGGCCCCTTCCTTTCCCAAATCAGCAGTGGTTCTCATCGTCCAATTCCCGACTTCCACTTTGGGAACCAGATGGAGAAAACATCCTACTTGTAAAAGGTTCATGTGATGAGGTCAGGCCCATCAGGTTAGTGTCCCTTTCTCAAAATGAACAAGTCAACTGTGCCATCAAACACAATCTTATCATAGAGCAGAGTTCGTCATATTCACAGTGGCAGGGACTGTGTAGGGCATATACACCAGGGGTGTGTGTCTGGGGACCATCATAGAATTCTGCCTCCCACAATTTTAAAAATTAATTCAGCATCAGTGATTACTTTTCCAGAGAAGATTGCACCATATTGGGCTGGGGTGGGGCATGGAGAGGGCCACTGGCTTCACACAGCCTTGATTCAGAATCCTGGCTCTGATCTCCAACAACTGATGTCCTCGAAGAAGCAGCCTGACTGTTCTGGGCCTCAGTTTACTCATCTGTAAAATGGAGTGAGGGCCACTTGGCAGGGCAGCTGGAAGGTTAAATGGGATCATGCAGGTAGAAATTTTGGCAGAGCCTGACCCTGGGGGCCTGGGCAATAGATGATGCTGCTGTGCATGGTTTTTTAGAACAACCCCGCCTTCTGTTTTGTTTGAAGTAGGGTGGGATAAATGAAAAGCATGTTTTTAGGCTCAAACACATCTGAGTCCACATCAGGAATCTTCCAGAGTCCAACTGTGGCCAGCGAGGCCCTGAGTACTGGACAGGAGACATGCCATGTGCCGACCAGTGCCCACATGCTGGTGACTGCAACCTGGGCTGGCTGCTCACCAGTCACTCACAGTGGGCAGGGTCAGGGCCCAGTCTGATCCCTCAGAGCAGGAGGGTTGGGCATGGAGTCGTGGCAGGTGGAACATCATACGCCCATGCCATTGGAGCTGTGGTCCCTCCTTGGCAGTGCTCTGAGGGAAACTGGCACACCTGTGCCCCTCCCTTTAGAGTCTTTGGCTTCCTCATTGTGTCTTAATGCAAAAGAGCAGCCAGACTAGTATGGATGATGGGAGGAGCCTTTTGGCTCAGACAAGGAGTGTCAGAGAAGGGGTCACAAAGACAGCTCTGCAGGCTAAGCCAAAAGCAGTAAAGGGTAATGTTAGGAGCAGGTCTTGGTGCAACTGCCTGGGTGTGCCTCTAGGTTCCACTGCTAACTTGTTATGTGACTGGGCTACTCTATACTTTAATTTTCTCCTCTGTAAAATGGGAATAACAGTAGTCCTAGCTTGTAAAATTGTCAGGAGGATTAAATGAAATATTGTCGGAACACCACTGATATGTGGTGCTTGTTCAGTACAAGTTATCCTCACCATCATCAACATCATCACCACCATCATCATTACCATCATCACCATTACCATGATCACCATCATCATCATCACCACCATCACCATCATCATCACACCACCATCACCATCATCACCACCACCATCATCACCATTATCATCCTCACCATCATCACACCACCATCACCATCATCACCACCACCATCATCATCACCATTATCATCCTCACCATCATCATCACCACCACCATCATCACCACCACCATCACCATCATCATCACCACCACCATCATCATCACATCACCATCACCATCATCATCACATCACCATCACCATCATCATCACCACCATCACCACCATCACCACCATCATCACCACCATCATCACCATCATCATCATCACCATCACCATCATCATCATCATCACCACCATCACCATCATCATCACCACCATCACCATCATCACCACCACCATCATCATCACCACCACCATCACCACCATCATCATCGCTATCATCATCATTACCACCATCACCATCATCATCACCATCATAATCATATAATCATCATCATCACCATCACCACCATTATCCATCATCATCTCACTATTACTATCACCTTCATCACTATTACTGTCATCGTCATCATCATCATCATCATTACCATTTCCTTTCCATCATCACCATCACTATCATGATTACCATCATTATCACCATCATCACTATCATCACCATCACCATCACAAACTCATCATGATTTAACAGGTGGGCTGGCACTCTGAATGTTGAAGACAGAGGGAGAAAATCAAGCTGGGACAGTCAGATTTCTACAGTCCTCCCCAGCAGGATCCAGGTGGGCTGTTGGGGGTCCCAGAAGCAGATATCAGCCCAAAAGATGAGCTTTGATAATCAGAGTGAGGCAATAGTGAGACTGAATGACACAAAAGAATCTAGGGTTGTTGAAATGCTGACAGCAGACAAAAGTGAGATGAGGTATCTCCTGACACCACCCCCTTCCATCTGCTCTCAGACGGGGCTCTTTGGAGAGGATCTGGAAGGCAAAACTGAGGTTTTATGCCACCTCCACCTCTACGTAACCTCAGACAGGCTTCATCTTGTCTCCTGGCCTCAGTTTCCTCATCTTTAAAATGGCAAGTTGCTGGGGGCCTGCCCTGAGCAGCCGGTAGATGGCGCTAATGGCTGGTGGTTGGGTGGGGGGAGGCTCCCACAGGGGCTCTGGAGGCCCCAGTAGGGCACTGGGGAGACCTCCCCTGATTCCCTGGGGGCAGAGCAGAGCTCTTGTCTTTGCAGGAGCTGCAGATTCTGCCTTGGGTATCTTAGAAGCTTTGCACAGGCATCTCCAGCTCAGCAGGAACCAAATGCCATCCTGTCTCCCCACTTCACTGGTGTCACCATCTTCCTGGGAGCTGTCCGCATACCCCTCTCCTTGGCCCTAACCTTTAATTTGTCCCTGAGTCCTATCAGGGTCACCCTCTATCTCACCACCATCTCCCACCTAGGTGAGCATGGGAACCTCCTCTCACACTCCCTCCAATTCCCCTCCACTGCAGTTGGGGGAGGCTTCTAAAATGCCAAATATAGCCCAGTCTCTGCAATTTGCAGGGTCCCCAGCGCTCGGGATAAAGTCCAAACCCCTGACAAACCTGTGAAGCCCCTCGAGGCCCTGTGGGTCTGGGGCTAGCTCTGGGCTGCAGCCCTGTCTCTGGTCGCAGTCCAGCTTCCACCAGGGTCCAGGGGCACTGAGCTGCCGTCCCTCTCTGCCCTCTGCGGGCTCCTCCTGACTGCCCGTCTTCCCCTGGCCTCTCTCTGCTTCCTGCTGGCATTGATAACAGTGTCCTGGAGAGCTGGGCAGGAGGGCTGCCTTGGGTTCCTACTGTGTGCCCCACCTAGTGCCGGGCTTGACCCTTAGCAAGTGCTCAGTACACCCATGTGGAATTGGGAGGTGAGGGTAAAGGGAGGAGGAGGGAAGTGCCGAGAGCTCCTTGTGCTCAATGAAGAGTGGGACTTGAGCAAGCACCCATTTTTAGTACCTCCCAAGATGTGTACAAGAGGCCTGGGGCCAGCAGAACCCCTTGCCCCTGCCCATCCCCCTCCAGTCTGTGGGGGTCCACTCCCAGCTGCCCCACTGTGAGGCCTCCGTGGCTCAGCTCCTCATCTGTTAAGTGAGGACAGCAGTCGTACCCCTCACAGCGAGACCACGTGGGTTACATAACTTGTTCTTAGGGTTTCTGGCTTGCAAGAAACCCCTAAGAATGTTCTGTACTCCTAGGCCCACTATTATTCTTAATATTACCCATAAAGGGTGGAGAAGCGAGTAAATAAATGAATAGGTGAATGAATGAACGAATGAATAGCACCCTAGCCCCACGGTCTCCTGGGGCTTCAGGATCCTTGAGGAGGTTGGCTGTGTAGGTTCCCCTCAGGTAGGACCCAGGTGAGCTGGGGAGTCTTAACTCACCCAGGGCAGGCCTTAAGTTTGGGGACATCCATGTGTGGGCTCTGCCCTGGCCTTACTTAACCAAGAGAGGGAAATGCTGGCAGAGAAGAAAGTCCTGCCCACCAGACAGCCCCATCTACCTGGGCTAGCCCCACCCCCAAGGAGCCCCACCCACCTGGGCTAGCCCCACCCCCAAGGAGCCCCACCCAACTGGGCTAGCCCCACCCCCAAGAAGCCCCACCCAACTGGGCTAGCCCCACCCCCAAGGAACCCCACCCAACTGGGCTAGCCCCACTCACAAGCGGCCCCACCCACCTGGGTTAGTCCCACCCAGCAGGCAGCTCCGCCTACCTTGGCTATCCCCCTCCGAGTTCTTGACTTGATTCTCCTGTTATTGTCCTGCAAACCCACATCCCTACAAAGCAGGAAAGTGTGCCTGGGAGAGGCCATGTGAGTGGGGAGCCAGCCCAAAGCCAGGCTTCCAGGGTCTCCCTCACCTGAAGCTGACTTTTTCCCCACCTTGGGCAGAGGGCGGGAGATGCCATCCCCACTGAACCCAGTGCTTTCACCAGCCATATTAGCTCCCACCCACCCCCCTGTTGTGGAAGCCTCGGCTGTCACACCTGCAGGGCCGGGGCGTGCATGGCCTCAGGGATGGCCTGTTCAGCTGCTGAGTGACTCGGGTCCAGGTGCCTCACCACCTGCTGAGCTCTGTGTGCTTTCTGGGCACTTCTGCTCATGGCCTTTGGGCTCAGTGAAGTGTCTGGAGTTTATCTGGAGTGAGGTGGTCGGGTCTTGGTGAGATCTGAGCAGGTAAGAAGCAGGGTCTTTCTTATGTTTTAAGGAGAGCTCTGTGGCTGCTGGGTGGGGGATCAGCTGGAGGGGCAGGAGGGCAGCAGGTGACTCATTACAAGGCTGGGGCCATCATCCCGTGAGAGCCGGGCATGACCAGTGCAGGCTGGTGGGGTTGCGGGTACAGACCAGTAGGACACACAGACGGCTCGGGACTGACCAAGCCTCTGCTGAGCTGCCCAGGGCCCCTCCCACCTGGAGCCCCCCAAGGTGGTGCCATATAGCCAGAGGCCTCCAGGCCCCACCCAAGACAGCCCAGCTGGCTTCTGCCCAGCCACTGTCACACACAGAGGGCAGCTGTCCCCACGGTCCCTAGAGGCGGCTGAGGACCACAGTGCCTGGAGTCCTCTGTGGCTATAAACCAGGAGGAGAAGGCAACCCACCCCTTCCCCAGAGACGGGGAGGCTGGGGCTGCCTCGTGGATTTTGGCAGGTCCCAGCTTCCAGGATTGTGAGGTGAAGACGTGAAGGGACCCTGGAGGTCATGAGGACCCAGGCACAGAGTGGTGGCCTCTCATCCTCCCCATGGTCAAGGAGGTCGGTGCCTTCCCGCGGTGGGTTATGGAAGGTAGGATCCTCCTTCTCTTCAGAGTCCATTCAGGAGCAGGAAAGTTCATCTCAGACCCTAAATCCAGCCACGTCATGCCACGCTTAACACCTCTAACAACTTCCCCCGGCACTTAGGACAGCATCTGGCTCCTTCCCTCGGCTCGTGGCCCTCAGGGTCTGCATCCCACACACCCCAGCTCTCCCGACGGTTCTCTGCACTCGCTGTTGCCTCTGCCTGGAACAGTCTTCCTCCTGGTGTCATCGTCTCCGTGGTGCGTCCTTCCTGACCTTCCACCTCCACCAGGTGCCGACACTTCCCCGACCCGGGTATCCTCTTCTTGCCGGTGGGTGAATGCCACCTGCTGATGTCTGATTTATTCATTGGTTTTCTTGTCTGTTGTCTGTCCCCACCGGGGACAGGGACTGGATACTCATGTTCATCCGGCAGACCGGACACTTTGTGGAGGGCTCCAAAGCTGGCACATCCCGGGGCCTCCTCTGTCTCTCCCAGGCCCTGTGTGTTGCGGTGAGAGGAGCATTTGTGTCTCTGTGGTTTGCTGCTGGAGCTAATGACCTGGAGAGAAATAAGGGAGACAAGGGTGTCCAGACAGGTGCGGGGCTCAGCCAGGAGGCAGAAGACGTGGATGTGTCCCGGGCCAGCGCCACCAGGCACTCTGTGTGGCACTGGGAACAGGAATTCTGAGAGTCAGTCTGTAAGGGTGGCGGGCATTGCTCCCCTGGGAGAAGCCTTTCCAGTGGGCGTTGAGCAGGCCGTTAGCTCGTGCCCTGAGGAGGTGCATGGGTGGCCTGGGGTCTCCACGGAAATTACGTGGGCGCACATGGGTGTGGCTCTGCGTTCACGTGGGCGAGGACTTCTGGCCGGTGCCAGGGCACTCTGCATGACCCTGGCAGAATCAAGCTCTCCCGACTGTGGAAGGGGAAGAAGAGCATGCGTGACCCCCCACCAGCACCGCACCCCTCACTGCTCCACCTGGGGCTGCCTCTGGGGTGGCTGGGTCCTGGTTGACTGTTGTGACAGTTGAGGCCAGGGGTGGGGTGGGGCATGGGAGTTAAGAGGACTGGCCAGGTGGGGCACACCGTGCGCCCACCCCCAGTGTCAGGAACTTCCCCCTCCTCCTCCACCCCCTCATACTCCTCCTCCTCATCATCCTCACTTGTTGAGGACGTCCTGTGTGCCCGCTGGTTTATATGCCCAGCCTCATTTAATCCTCAGAATAACTCCATGAGGTAGCTACTAAAACCCCCCACTTAACAGATGAGGAAACTGAGGCCCAAAGAAGCTCAGCAAGTTGCCTAAGGTCCAAGTTTCCTCTCCCAACTCTCCTACCCTCTCCTCTTCCTTCTCCTCTCTCCCATTCTTCCCTGCCTCTTCCTTAACTAGACAATGTTTTATCGAGCATCTCCCATGTGCAGGCATGAGCCAGGTGCTGGGAAGATCACGATGATCCAGCTCCTTCTGGTCCTTTCCTTAGCTGGTTAGAGGCTGGGAGGACACGCAAGTTCAGCTCCAGCCGACCGGGGCATTGATGGTAGCCCCTGGAGAACTTGTGCAATGGGGCTATGAGGCTGAATCTGGCTCCAGGAAAGCATGTTGCAATCCACGAGTGATGTTTGCCATGCACACAGGCATGGAGAGTGAGGCACCTGTGCTGTCTTCTCGTAGACCCTAGACTGGTGGGGCCTCTGAAACGCACCCAGACACTGTGCTGGGTGTGCTGCATAGCCCTCCTAACCAATTCAGTATTTTTCTCTCCATTTTCCAGGGAGAAATCAGAATCTAAGGTGTCAGAATGTAAGGTTCCTGTTGGAACCCAGGCTCCAGGGTCCCTGGTTTTCTGTGACATCATGCTGCAGGACCCTGTTTCTCTCTTTGCTTTGGCTGCTGGGTAGCTCGGAAGGGAGCGTTAGGCTTGCTCTCAGCCACTACATTAGCTCAGGGGTTTGGGCATTTTTGTCACCGGCTCCTTTGGGCTCTTTGTCCTCCCTGCTGTGCTTCCCGAGGAGCAGGCCGGATGTAAGTTATCAGCTATAAATAAAACCAAGACTTCCGTTCTGGCTCTCACTCTAGTTTCCTGGTGCATTTTTTTTTAAGTTCTTAATCAAGGGAGGGGGTACTCCTGACTGAAGATGACATCAGCATCAGCTGGCCCTGGGGGGCAGACCCCCAGCCCCCAGGCCCGTGTGGTCCCTGAATGCCCCCATTATGAGGGGTAACCTCATTACACAAGACGCGCTGCACGGCGGAATTTCAAATGGGGTTTTGTGGTTTCTGCCCTTTGCAGCAGAGCACACACAGGCAGCTGCGGTCGCCTGGCTTCCTCTCCCGCCGCAGTCCTGGCGCCTGGCCAGCTGGTGACCACCCCTTCCACCATGAGTCAGTTTCATTCTTAACTCTCTGACTCAGGTCCCTTTAAAGGGACAGCAGAATCCATTCGCTCCAAGCAAGGAGGGAGAGGTGAAGAACCTGCCTGGGAGGGGAGTTGGGGGTTAAGAGGAAGCTTGGGGGTCCCAGGCAGGCGGCTGGGTGAGCAGCCCTGCCTCACTCCCCTACCCCAGACACCCAGAATGGAGGGGCTTTCCTGTCTATTCCAAGGGAGACGGACCTGTGACTTCCCCAAAGCTGACTGTCTGCAAGGCAGGAACCCCCAGTGTTCAGCAATCTTCCTTTCTGTCTGGTCACAAGCCCTGCCCAAGCTCTGGGCTCAGAAGGTAATGGGGGCTTTGTGAGCCACTCCCGACGCCCCACGTGCCCCGCTTCCTTCTCATCTTTGGCTCCTTCATTCCTTGTACTTCCGTCGCAACGACCTCTGGAGTTCCTAGGACATCCTGAGCTGCTTCCCCGGGCCGCCCTCCCTGCCACCTGGCATGCACGTCACTCCGCTCTTTGTGGGGGTCCCGTCTCCTCCTTCTGAGCCCAGCTGCGTGCCACCTCCTCCCAGGTACATCCTGCCAGTCCGTCACAGCAACCTATTTACCTCCATAGTAGCACAAGGAACAACCCAAACTCTGTTCACCTTGCTCCCCATGTTGACGGCCCCCAGCGTGAACTGTCTGCTCCATGAAGGCAGGGCCCTGCCTGTCTTGTTCACAGCACAAGGCTGGACACACAGTCGGTGCTCACTCAACATTCCTGGGATCAATGGGAAATGACTGTCAGGGAACTCTCTGCAGCCGTCTTTGTCGAGGGCCCCAGATGGGGTGTGGGTGGCCCCTCCCTGTCCAGATGGTGTTGGAGGGGCTGGGGGCCAGGCATGGCGAGCAGGCCAAGGCTGCAGGTGGACACCCTGGGAGTGGGGCTGCTGGGGGCCAGGCTGCAGTTCCAGCCCAGGTCAGGTCTCATGTGAGGCCTCTGTGAAACAAGAATTTCTCTCTCCATTTCCTTCTCCTGTCTGACTCACACTTTCGTTTTGAAGTTCCCCCTTTCTGCCAGCGCTTCGCCTGAGGTTACGGAGTGGTCAAGCGAGGCCGGCAGGGCGTGGAGACCCGGAGGAAGCTGGGTTGCAGTTTCATTCACAAAAACACGACCCACCCGCTTCCTGTGTCCTGCCTGGGCTGCACGGCTCCCAGCCCTGCAGCCAGTTCACAGGGTGTTTGCAAGTTTGCAGGGGCCAGTGAGGGTGCTCCTGGGGTTTGAGAGGCTTGAGTTTGTCCACCCCAAGGCCTCTGTCAGGACCCCCCTTTCCCGCCCCTGTGCTTCTTTCTCCCACGGTGCCTCCCAGCTCACCCCCACAGGGGCCTGGTGCAGAGCCTCAAACCCAGGATTCTATAGGAGCTGAGGGCTGGGCATGAGCACCTTGGTGCTTCCCTTGGCCTCACTGACCCATCCTTGTTTCAGCACAGAGCTGGGAGGCCCAGGGAGGATGGCCTCTGCTGACTGGTCCAGCTCCCTTTGTGGTTCCCACCTCTCAGTCTGGGGTGGATCCAAGGGGAGGGAAGAGAAGGGGCTGGGAAGAAAACTACGCCTGTCGGGGCACAGGCTTCTAAATCCAACCTTGTATCTCCTACGAGTAGCTTCCAGGTGTCCACAGGGAGCCCGGGGTGACGCAGGCATCATTCGTTCTCCACGTGTCAGATGATCCTGTGGTCCCTCAGTGCCAGGCCCCCCTGACCCTCTGGGCACATCAGTGACTTTGATGTGGTTCCCCCCTCCCACGCTGCCAATCTGGTGGTGGAGACAGAACAGCAGTCCTGGACGGTAAGGATGCCCAATGCCACATGCCATGTTAAGGATGCCCAGTGCCACTTCCCCTTAGCAGGGGAGATGCAGAGGAGGGGAGGACACACAATCTGGGCATCACAGAAGCCTCCCTGGGGTGGGGGGCATCCGAGCGGAGCCTGAAGGATGAGACACCAGGCAGGGGAAGGGACTGGCTGGGAGGAGAGGCAGGGAGGGGTCTCCAGGCAGAGAGACAGTGTGTGCAAAGCTTGAGTGCAGGAGAGCCCCTGGTGTGTCGGAGCTGGAGAGGACTGTGTGGGGGGTCTGGGTGGTGTGGAGCGGGGACGGAGGCCAGGCCAGGGGGTCAGCCAGGCTGAGCGGCTTGGACATTTTTTTTTTTTTTTTTTTTTTTTTTTTTTTTTCCGAGACAGAGTCTCGCTCTGTCGCCCAGACTGGAGTGCAGTGGCCGGATCTCAGCTCACTGCAAGCTCCGCCTCCCGGGTTCACGCCATTCTCCTGCCTCAGCCTCCCGAGTAGCTGGGACTACAGGCGCCCGCCACTTCGCCCGGCTAATTTTTTGTATTTTTTAGTGGAGACGGGGTTTCACCGTGTTAGCCAGGATGGTCTCGATCTCCTGAGCTCGTGGTCCGCCCGTCTCGGCCTCCCAAAGTGCTGGGATTACAGGCTTGAGCCACCGCGCCCGGCCCCGCGGCTTGGACATTTTACGGAGGATGATGAGGAAGCCCTGCAGGCCTGTGTGCTCGGCTGGCCCCGTCCAGCTGACCACAGCTTCGTTCAGCACAATCCACATGGCACTGCTTTGGGGCCTCTGATCCAGGGTCTCATTTCACCCTGGTGCTGCCCCTGTGAGGAGGCGTTGTCTCTTCTTCGGCAGTTGAGGAAACTGAGACCTGAGAGGCAAGTTCTGCCCAAGGTCATTCAGTAGGTGCTCTCAGAGTCATCCGAACTGCGGTCCAGGGGTCTCTTGGGGTCCAGGGGTCCACCCTCCCTGACCCTCTGGCCATGGCTGCTATGGGGATGGAACCGTCACAGGGGCAAGGCACTTTGAAATGCAAAAGCTCTACGGTGTCATGATTATGATAAAAACACAACAGGAAGAACGCAGCCCATTTCAGTTTTATGAGACTGAGCTGCTCCTCTGGAATTCCCTCTTTTCCGGGGATCTCAAAGCACTGGGCAGGTCCACAGACCACTCCTAGAAGTACTGGGAACCAAGCTCAGGCCAGGCAGGAAGTGGCAGGCACCGCTCATTCTCTGCCGTCCCAGTCCTCCTCCCCTCAGCATCGACCCCTCTCCCCAAGTCAGCTGGTACGAGAATGAGGAGCTCGGGTCCTCCCCATCCCCAGCAGGTGAGGAGCAAAGACCAGCAGCAGCAGGAACAGGACTAAGGACTCCACCATCCTGGAGACAGAGAGGGGTGGAGGCATTGGCCGTTCCGCCTGGTTTAGCGTTTTCTGGGTTCAGCTCCTGTCTGTCCCTTGAGACTATGAGCTTCTGAAAGTCATGGACCATGCATGTCTGAGTCACTGTGGCCTGCTGGGATGAGCAGGGCTTGATGGCTGGAGAGGAGGGAGTAGGGTGTGGAAGGCTGGGGGTCAGGGGGAAGTCACAGGACTGGCTACCCTGTCAAGGCTTCCTAGGGTTTGTTTAATGAATAAGGAATTGATGGATGAATTATCCACTAACTGAAGGGTATGAGTTGCAGACGGATATGTGGAAGGATAAATGGATAAATGAATGTGTGGATGGTCTAAAGGAAGATGGATGAGTGGGTGGATGGATGAAGAGATGGGTGGATGGATAAGTGATGAATGAACGCAGGGATGATGGATGGATGGATGGACAGATGGATGGATGGGTGGATGGATGGAAGGGTGGAAGGATGGATGGATCAAAAGGTGTAAGATAAATAAATGGATGGAAGGACAGATGGAGGGATGAACAGATGGAAGAACGGATGGAGGGATGAACAGATGGAAGAATAAAATGGATGGAAGGACAGAGATGAGGGATGAACAGAAGTGGAAGAACGATGGAGGGGCAGAACAGATGGAAGAACGGATGGAGGGATGAAACAGATGGGAAGGACGGATGGAGGGATGAACAGATGGAAGGACGGATGGAGGGATGAACAGATGGTGATGGATGGAGGGATGAACAGATGGGAAGGACGGAGGGAGGGATGAACAGATGGAAGGACGGATGGAGGGATGAACAGATGGAAGGGACTAGGATGGAGGGATGAACAGATGGAAGGACGGATGGAGGGATGAACAGATGGAAGGACGGAAGTGATGAACAGATGGGAAGGACGAGGGATGGAATACAGATGGAAGCGATCGATGGGAGGGATGAACAGATGGAAGGGCGGATGGAGGGATGAACAGATGGAAGGGCGGATGGAGGGATGAACAGATGGAAGGACGGATTAATCAGTGATGGATGAATGTGTGGATGTGGACAGATGGATGAATGCATGGACAGATAGGTAGTGGAGAGATGGTACAGGGGATTGGTAGAAAGTGAAATAAGCACCTGGGTCATCTCAGGCATATGGGCAATGTGAGTCGCTTCTAGCAGAGACCGTGATGGGACTCGCCTGGCTTTACAGATGGAGCCTTGGCATGCATGGCACGATGTCCACGTCCTCCACCAACTAGAAGACCAGTGATTTGGCTCGGGTCGTTTTCTTGGTTCAGCCTTGTCAGCCCCATGACTATGGCGAGTCTTCTGCCCTCCTGGTCTTGATTTCCCGTCTGGATGATGAGGATTTACTGGATGAGATGGGCCTCTATGGTGGAGTCTCCAGATTTTCCTAGGAGGAGGGGCAGCACCCCTACCTCTCTCTTCTGCTCACAGGCCTTCCCTCACTCCATTCCCAGGCTCAGCGCAGGCACCTGCCATGCACCCTCTTCCCCACCAGTTTCTAAATGTCTGGGCACGAAGCCAGCAGGAGAGATGGGCCCTGGGGAAAGGGGAGCTGGCCCCTGCTGCAGGGTGGGCAGGCTGGGGGCCACTGTGGCTGCAGACAGCTGCTCAGCAGGCCCTTGGCAGGCTCCAGCTGAGTCATCCTGAGTCACCACTGTCACCTCCTACCACACATTCCTTCATTCATACAGTGTCTACCCCTGAGGCCACCTCCCTGAAATCTCACTGGGCAGTTGCCAAGGGTGTGGAGGGCACTCAGGCCTGCCTGATGGGCCCTTGGCAGGGAGAGAGGGCTGGGCAAGATGACCTCCGGGAAGGTGTGGACGCCCTCTGAGTTCCTTCCAGACCGGGAGCTCTCTGACCTCACTGGGCTGGGTCCCCTACAGATGGGAGGGCTAGGTGCCTGTCTCCTTGAGGGCCCTTAGCAGTCATTCGGAGGAACACTGGGCCCCTCAGCTCACTGAGATTCACTGGGATGAGGAGACAAGAGTGACTCACCTGCCCCCCTTGCCTGTCTGCTCAGCAGCCACACCCAGGCTAGGCTCTCCTGCAGTGAACCAGGCCAGCTCTGGAGTGGGCAGCCCTGCTCTGTGTCTGTCCCAGCGCTTCCTTGCTGTGTGGTGTGGGGCAGGCCATGTGTGGTGTGGGGCAGGCCATGCACAGCTCCAGGCCTCCGTGTCCTCGTCTGTAGCCGGGGTGCCACCAGGCAATGCCTCTGGTGACTTGTGTGGGCACCTGGTGCTCCTCTGTCCCTCCTGGGGCCAAGGGTGTCCTACAGGCCTTTGACCTGCAGGGCTCACCTCTGGCAGATCCTGAGTCCTGGCGTCAGATACCACCAGGAACACAATTCTGGGTCTGGGAGGTGAGCCTCTCTCCAGCTGGAAGCCTGGGCTACACTAAGAGCTTAGGGACCCAGGGTGGTGACCCCTGAGTGCTGGGCTCCCAGGGGTGGGAAGAGAGAGGCCCGGGTAGTAGCCTGGTCCACCTGCAGTAGGTGCCAGGTAGGGCAGCTGCTGGGAACCCGGCACGGGGCCCAGGGCCAGGCTGGGGCTGGTGGTCTCAGGGTCCATGAGGCCCATACGTCAGCCTCTGAATTTGCCATGGCAGGAACTTGGGACACAAGAAGCCGGCACCACTGAACACCCTGTCCTTTTCATTCATTTCCTCTCCCACTAACCCTGGTCAAGCCTTCTGTGGCAGGCACCACTCTGCACTGAGGATTTATGTCAATGAAATTGACTTGGGTCCCTGTCCAAGGGGGTCTGCATTCTACTGAGGGGAGACGGAAGACAGGCAGTAACCATAGTCACATGGCCTGGCCTGCTATGGAGGCAATCAGAACCGTGGGAAAGAGAAAGGAGAGTGAGGGAAGAGGGTGCTCTCTGAGAAGGGCTTTGGATGGGATCAGGAGGGGCAGGGTGAGCGGGGATGGGGGGTGTCTGGATGGCGCACCCCTCTGTGGAGCAGTAGGGAGGCCGGTAGAGGGGACCAAATCTGGGAAGCGGTTGGATCCTGCACAACTGCCCAGGGAGGCTGACATGGCACCCGTTTTCTGGGATGGCCCCATGTGCTCTAGTGTGATTCTTACAGGGCTCCCTTTTCCTCTCAAAGGACAGGTTAATTGGTCCCACCCTTGCATGACTTTTAAGGCCTTTGTCTTTCACTTGAATGAATTGGGGAGCAGGGGAAGGATGGGTCCTACTCAGGCTGCTGAAAGGATGCTGTGCCTGCCAGGTTAAGGAGGGACTGGGGGACGGGGTCAAGGGCGGATTTATGATCTGTGATCTTAATATCCATTTTCTGATACCCCTCAGCTCTGGGGACACAGAGATGGGGCAGACAAGGTCTTCCCTAGAGATTCCCTGATGGAGGAAGGACACACAAAGGCTGATAAACACCATAAAGAACCTGCAGACTAAGGCCTCGGGAGCTTGAGGAGGGAGCAGCCAAGTTGGGGAGGAAATCCAGGAAGTCTTCCTGAAGGAAGGGGTGTTTGAGGTGAATCTTGAGGGCTGAGCAGCAGATTCCCCAGGTCGAGAGTCAGAAAGAGGGGAAGGTATTCCAGATAGAATGACAGATGGCAAAGGCTCAGGCGTAGGAACAAAACACCAAGCCCTCCCACTTCATTCATTCATTCATCTACTCATTCATTCTCCACTTCCTTCTTGTATGCACTGTTTACCTGGCACCATGCTGGCCCTAGAGAAATACTAACCCCACTCCTCACCCGCTCTGTGGCACTTGTCCAAGGAGGGGCTGGCTGTGGCCAGGAAGCCATCCTGGTTTAGCAACCTGGCAAGCATCCCTCCCTCCATGAAACTCTGGATCCCAACAAGGCTACATTTGTTTTGTATTTGAAATTCCACTAATTTTTTCGTGTCTTTGCATTAATGATTCCTCTTTAAACATCAAAGGGACCCGTAGGGCATTTTGACTCCTAACCTTTTTGTATGAGAAGCAGCTGATCATTATCCCACGGCTCCAATGATAGGCTGCAGTCAGTTCAGATTCCCAAGATTACAAAAGGAAATTCCGCTAATTATAGTTTGATAGAAATTATAGTTCTGCCGATTCCTGATTGACAGGGTGGGCTGGCAGGAATCACTGTGCTCTTTGATAAGATTTTATGAATCTCTCGCAGGAATCTCACAAGTGCCTCATTGCAGGAGAAGTTTCCTTCACGCCTCTCTCCCATGAGGAACCTGCTCATCTTATCCCCGGAATAAATGGAGGGCCTGGAGTACGTGGGTGCAAGAACAGAGGCCTGGGAGTCAGGAATCCTGGGTTTGTATACAGTCAGTAGTTTGCTGTGTGACCTTCCAAGGTTCCTTTGCCCCTCTGGGCCTTCATCAGAAGGGAGGAGGCAGTGTGGTACCTTCATTAAGAGCACGGGTTCTGAGCTCAGGCTTTCTAGCTACATGTCCTTGGTCACCTTGCTGATCTTCAGTTTCTTCCTCTGTAACGTGGACATGACGAGAATAATAATAATCCCCTCTACATGGTTGTGGCAGATCACTTGAGGTCAGGAGTTCGAGACCAGCCTGGCCAACATGGTGAAACCCCGTCTCTACTAAAATTACGAACATTAGCCGGGGGTGGTGGTGAGTGCCTGCAGTCCCAGCTACTCGGGAGGCTGAGGCAGGAGAATCGCTTGAACCTGGGAGGAGGAGGTTGTAGTGAGCCGAGATCACACCACTGCACTCCAGCCTGGGTGACAGAGCAAGACTCTGTCTCAAAATAAATAAATAAATAATAAAAAATAAAAGAATTAAATGAGCTAACACATGTGAGCTAATATAAATAAGCTAAGATCCAGGATGGACGCAGAGCAGTGGGCGTAGTGGGAGAGCTTGGACGATACCGCCTATTTTATAAGGAAGTGGCCCTCTTGAAAGTCGGGGACAGCCAGGCCTCAAGCAGAAGCTGTAGACGACTTCTGCAATTCCACATAAAACTGAGCTCTGCGACGCTCAGGGCAGAGACAGAGGCAGGACCACATCTAACAGACGGGCAGGTGGAGGTGTGGGGAGGCTCTGGGGCATGTGCATAGTCACACGGGGGGACGGGGGTGGCAGGAGCGATCTCGAATGTTCTTGTTCCCAGCACTGCCCCCAGAGACCTCCCAGTGTGGACCTTGCCCAGAAGAACACACGTGGCAGAAAGCTGGACTCATGGCAACACGCCCCCAGAGCCTTCTCAGTTCTCATAGATGTTAGTCCATGTGGACGCTGTCTGCTTTCGGGAAAGCCCCCAGTAACAGATATGGGGGACATGGAGGCCCTGAGTAGTAAGGGGGCCTGACCCACAGGCACAGAGTTGGGTGCTGTGGAAATGGCCAGAAGCTTGGGTCTCCTTCCTTCCCACCACACCAGTGGGCGCAGGATGCTGGCAGGTGACTTGGCGATGCCCCTTCGCTTTGCTGCCAGGAAATTGGCTGCAGAGTCCAGGGCTCATAAAAGCAGCCAGTTGAGTGAGAACGCACTGGTTCAGAAGCCAGTGGGCCCCTAGCTCCTCACAGTGGGCTCCCTCGGCCAGGCCAACAGGCCATGTCTCCCAGCCAACCTTGGGTCTGGCCCCCAAAGATCCATTTCTATTTGCAAAGTGCCTGCCCCCCACTATGTTCAGCAGCCTAAGCCCCAGTGACCATTGGCCGACCGAGATAAGGGCCATCCCTACTCCCTCCATCCCCCAATACTCCTGAGGCCCTGTGCACCTGCCTCATGATGGGGGCTAGGGTCCCCAACAGTAAAAAGAACCTAGCTCTTGTCTTGGGAACCCTGGCAGGATTTCCCAAGTCACCTGAATGCCCAAGCTATTACAGCCTATGTTTGCCCTGAAGAAGAAAGAATCAGACTGAAACAGAGCAGGTAGCAATGGGGAAGTGAAGACTGAGGTCCTTCCAGGACCCCCAATGCCCTCATGTCCTCCCACTGGGGTCCAGTGTCCCCTCCCCTCCTCCTGTGCAGGAGCGGCCCCTCTGAGCCTTGATTCCATCCTTTGTGAAGTGCAGTGACCAGTGGTTGCCATGCAGGGGATACTTGCTGAAGTGCTCCATGGTGCCCAGCACAACACAGTGGGCAGAGGGCAGCAGTCCGTCAATACCACACGCTGCCCTTGCTGCTCACAGTGAGTCTTATCTAGGGCAGCGCAGGGCTCCCTCACATCACCCTTCCTTGGCCCCAACCTCAAAACTTATGACTTGGTTTCCCCTTTCCACTGTTTTTGGTCAGTGCCAAAGGACCAGGCAGGACCAGTGCCAGGAAAAGGACTGGAACATGAACGGGCTGCTCGTTGAAGGTCACACATTTGCAATTTGATGGAGACAGCAGGGGTCTTCACGTGCCAAGCAGAGTAGCTGTGTAGCAATTCTGGGCACCACAGCAGGTGAGGATGGGGGCTTTGCTGGAAGACAGTGCCAGCTCCCACAGAACCCTAACGAGGCTGAGCAGGAGGGGTCCTCCGTGCTTAGATGTAACACAATACCCTTGTTTTCTAGATGGGGAAACTAAGGCTCAGGGAGCTGGCTTGTCTTCTCTACACCGCAGGGTGTGCTGGGGCAGACCTGTACCTGTGATTGTGGGGCCCAAGTTATCCCCGCAGTCCATGCGGGCGGCAGAACAGCCAGATGAGCACTGGGGCCAGAGCTGGGGCCAGCTCTCGGGTTTGGGGAGATGCTGCTGCAGGTCTTGTGCTAACCACCGAGAGACTCCCAGCTCACCTTCGCTGTTCCTTTCACCCTGGCCCCTTGCGGGGCTCCGGGGCCTGCCCACCCAGGCCCAGGAGGGGTTGGGACTGGCCAAAGCGGGAGGCAGGATAGGAAGCTTCCTCTGGTTCCTCTCATGGGGATCACAAGCTCCCCAAATTGTCCAAGCCATCTTCCCTCTCCCAGCTCAGAGGTTATCTCTTCCAGGAGGTCCACACATATTGTCCTGGCCAGGAAGAGGGTCTCCCACACCTTCTGTGCCTTGGCCGTAGTCCTCGTTACCATGTCTTGTGGATTCGTTATTTCAGTCAGTTACTGGCCAAACTCCTCTCACACCTGAGTGCGCAGCTCGTGCCAGGAGCACTGCAAAGCGTGTGCTGTCCCCACCCCATCCACGTGGCATTCAGAACCTGACCACTCCCTGCCACCGCCCCAGTCCTCTCTGGTCCGAGCTGCCCTGGCTTATTGCAGAGGCATCTCCATGGCCCGCAATCTGTTAACATCCGAGCCTCAGCTCTGCCCTTCCTCTGCTCACCCTCCAAGGGTTCATCTCAGATGAGACAGCAAAGCCCTCTGCAGGCCTGCCCCCTCCAACCTCGTCTCGCCCCTCCCGACCTTGTTCCTCTGCTCCAGCCACTATGGCCTCCCTGCGGCTGCTCATACTCTGCGGGCTGCTGATACCCCAGGCCTTTGCCCTGGCTGGGCCCTCTGCCTGTGACGCTCTTTCCCAGACACCCACGTAATTTGCTTCCTCCTCTTCTTCAAGTTTTTGCTCAAATGAAGGCCTGCACAGTGAGCCTCCCCTGGCCCCCTATTTATAGTTGCCTCCCCCAGTATTTTGGAGCACTTGGCACCATCTGACACACTGGACCTCTGTCCGTGAGCAGGCCAGCTTCTGAGTGGCAGGGATTTGGGCTGTGCGTTCCCTGCTCTCACCTCACTCCTACAACCATGCCTGGCACATCATAGGAATGCCAACAAGCTGTGTTGTGTGAAGGCAGGAGCAGCCCTGTGGGCTGGGTCATGATCTCCTACACTATATATGTGCAGAAGCTGCAGCCATGAGGCCCGCTTGAGGTTGCCGGGCTCTTGCTCCTGTGGGTCTGAACCCAGCTGGATGTGACTGTAAGATCCAGCTTTTCAAAGGCTCCCACTGCCTTCCGTGCACAGTGTGCTGCCTAGCACGGGAAGTGGAGCCCGCCAGGCAGCACCTGGGATATGAGCTGCTCCAGGGATGCCCTGGGAGGAGGGAATAGGGGTGCCTCCCAGGGAAGAGGTTCCTGGGCTATGATGGGGCAGGGGGTAACTCAGCTTCCCCTGGGGTCTGGGAGTGGGAAGAACATTCTGAGAGGGGGAACAACACTTGCAAACATGGCTGATATGCAGGTCGGGGCAGATTTGGCAATGACTGCCTTGGGCCTGATTGGAGGTCCTGTGGGGGTGGGTGGCTGTGGGGCCCCCAGGCAAGGCCTGGAGGAGGCGGAGGGGTGTGTGGGGGGTCTGATGGGCCACTGGGAGTGGCCTGAAGTGCACTGGAGCCGGAGGTGGCATTGTCAGGGTCCTGTTTGAAAGACCCCTTTTCTGATGGGAGGAGGGAAGACTGCCGGGTGAGCCAGGGGTGGCGGCAGCTACCTGGACAGAAGCCAGTGTGGGGCGGGAGGCACGGGGCAGATAGGAGAGCTCGAGGAGGGACACTCTATGTAGCTCAGTGACCCGGGTCTCAGTGTGTCCCCGGGTTTGCAGCTGGGGCAGCTGGAAGCAGGACAGGGACCTGGGTTCCTCTCACGGGGATCACACGCTGCCCAAATTGTCCAAGCCATCCAAGCCAAGAGGTGGGTTCCTTCTGCAGTGCACTGAGGTTGAGCTGCTTATGAGACTCCCACGGGTGAGGCAGAAGCCTTGGGCTGCTGGGATAGCAGCTCCGGATTCAGGGGAGATCTTGGCCAGAGAAAAAGATCTGGGGGTCCTAGTGTTCACGTAGTGACTTCAGCATGGAGGGGGCAAGGCCCCTCCAGAAGCGGGTGTCTGGAGGAGAGAGGGCTATGGCCTCCACTCCAGGCCCAGCCAGCCTCTAGCAGGCCCTCCTGCCCACAGCACCTGCCCTCAGGGCCACAGGGGGCTGCTGGCACCTCGTTCACTGGGAACGCTCCAGGGGTCCTCTGTCTGCTGCTTGTGGTTTCACAGACTTGGCAATCAAGACAGGATTGCTATTATTTTTCACCAGAAAACAATGTATGGATTTTGGGCCCTTGCTGATGATTCTAGAGGAAAACAGCTGAGAGGATGTGTGTTTTCAAGGGAACATTTCTCTTTGGACTCTGTCCACTCGGTGTCCTCTTGGAAAACCACAGGGAGGGCTGGAAAGAGTCTTAGACTCGTGTGAGGGGCAGAGGGAGACCAGGTCCTTGTCCCAGCTCTGCCTGTGGCTCTCTGTGTGATCCCATGAACAGAGGAGGAGCATTTGAGATGACCCTCATCTCAAATCGCCCAGCCAAACATGGCCCAAACCAAGCAGGATGGCCTCCCTGCCCCTATCCTGGTCCTCCACGGGCCGTCCCCATCTCATGGAAGGGGGCCAAGCCTCACACGTGAGTGTCACACATCCTTCTGGGGATTCCTGTCCCTTGTATCTCTTGAATCAGGCTCTTAAGATTCTTCTTCTTCATTCCATCATCGTAACCTCCTTCCACGACTCTCAAATCTGTCTCCTTCTCCATATCTCCACCGCCGTCTCTATGTTCCCGTCTGCCTTTGGCTCTGCACTGTACAAGTAGGTGGCCCCTGTCCAGCCAAAGTGGGCCCTTTGCACACTGGTGTGAGGGCTTCTAAGTCTCGTTTTGGCTCTCAGCCCAGCCTCTCCCAATCTCCTTGTGTCCTCCCACGGCATGTGGGAAAAGACTAGGATGATGGCATTGGGGCCACAGAGATAAGACCATTGTCCCTGCACTTCAGGGATCTGAGCCCCTGGGCCCCTGGCACGAGTATAATGTTGAAAGGAAGCCTGGAGAAAGCCTCCAAGGGGACGGTACATTAGAACTGGGTCTCAAGACATGGGCGTCCGGGCCGTAGGCGTGGGAGAGGACATGCAAGTGGAGAAACCAGGTCCTGACTCGGCCTGGATGCAAGTGCCAGGGGCTGTTCTGTCTCTGTCAGCTCCAGGACCATTCAGGGCTGGCACAGAGCTTGGGAAGGAATGAATAGCAGTTTTGGACATTATGCTGACATTCAGTGAGTGCCTACTGTGTACCAGACCCTGGGTTATGTATTAACTTACCAATCCTCCCAGTAACCCAGATTAGTCCCAGGCTGCAGACGTGGAGGTGGAAGCTCAGAATGGTTCAGTCGCTTACTCAAGGCTACACAGTGAGGGGGGCAAAGCCAGGCCACCTGCTCCAGACCGCAGGCATGGATGGGGGTGGAGGGGAGTCCTGAGCCGGGGGGGTCCTGGCTGCCGCTGAGCAGGGTGGGCATGGAGGTCCCAGGCTCGCTCTTGGCCATGCCGAGTGCTCCCTTCCACTGACTGTGGCTCTAGTACTGACAGGTGTCTCTATTGATGCTACAGCCCCCACCTTTCATTGCCTCTGGGACGAAGGCCCCTTGGGCTCCTAGCTTTGGGACAGGACTGTGGCTGCTCCCTGCCGTTGGCTAGGCCTCCCACTGGGACCTCCTGCCCACTGTCTCCCCATGCTTTGTGGCAAGCCTGTGAGTCAGCATACCCATTTCACAGCAGGGACACAGAAATCCCCCGAAACCAGGGACTTTCCCAGCACAAGAGTGTCCAGGACTAGAACCCAACTCTCTCTCGGTCCAGCCACCTGCAGAGTGACCCACACGGAGAGTTGCCAGCCCTTACTGAGCTATCCTCTGCCTCCTGTTCACACTTTCCCATAAGTCACAGAATCCTCCAGGCGACCCAGTGATGTAGGCACTATCACTGTTCCTTCCTACAGACCTGGAAACTGAGTCACAAAAAGCAAGCTGCTTTCCCAGACCCCACTGCTCTGCTAGGTGGAGGCCAAGCTGGTGTGTGAACCCAGGCCGCTGCTCTGAACTTCTCCACACCACACCGTACAGAGGAAATAAGAGCTGGGAGAATTCTGCCTTCAGGCAGAACGTGTTATTCCAAGAAGCCAGGAGGAAGGAACCTAACATTTGTTGAGCACCTACAAAGTGCTGGCTGATCTCACAGCATTACTTTGCAAAGTGAATATTCTTCATCTTAGTTTACAGACGAGGAAATGAGACTCAAGGAAGCAGTATTGACTTGCTCCAGGTCACCTAGCTAGTGACGTCGTGAGGAGAGGCAAGATTCCCCCCAGCCTGGGACCCCAGGGACCCTGCCTGGATGCCTGCTCCAAGCTGTTCCCTTCAGGAAGGCTAGCTCTCACTAGCAGGGCAGCCTCCTTCCTTCTCCCTCCATCCCGCCTCGGGAGAATTAAGTGGTAAACGTTTTCAAAGTCAACTGTCAAAAGAAAATGGTTAGAGGAAGGAAATGTGCAATTAGGAGCTTCAGAGTAATTTTCATCGTGTGGTTTGAGCTCGACTGTAAACACTCAGGAAGGAGAGAACGCGGCTGTTTCCCCCCCGGCTGGTTTCCTGCCAACTCTGCTGAGTCCCAGAACCGGGTGGGTTTCAGGCTGAGGCACCAGCAGGGAGGCCGGTGGGCAGCCAGCCTCGGACTGGGGAGTTGCTGGGGGCTGTGGGATGCTCCCATTCCCAAGAGAAGCTTTTTCCAGCAGAATGTGCCGGCATTACAGAAAGGAAATATTAACATTATAATTATAATTCTGTTTATTTAATTAAGTTATTAAACAGGCCCAGCCTGGGGTGGGGCAGGGGGGAGAAAAAAAAAAAACCCATCGTTTCATTCTAATTGTTTCTCCCAGGATGTAATTAGAGCCTTATAGAAGGAGTCAGAGCCAGAGAAGGCAGAGAAGGCAGGGAAGGCAGGGGCTCTGCCAGGCTGGGGCCAGGCCTGGTGCACAGCTCCAGGTAGGCTAGGCCTGGGGGCGCAGGCTGGCTGTGGGAATGCAGCCTCTATGAGGGCTGGGACTTGGGCCTGTGTCCCCATGCCTGGCATGTACTAGGTGCTCAAGAAATAGCTGTGGAAGGCCTAGTGGCAAGCCTGTGAGTCAGCGTACCCATTTCACAGCAGGGACACAGAAAGCCCCTGAAACCAGGGACTTTCCCAGCACAAGAATGTTCAGCACTAGAACCCAACTCTCTCTCGGTCCAGCCACCTGCAGAGTGACCCACACGGAGAGTTGCCAGCCCTTACTGAGCCATCCTCCGTCTCCTGTTCACACTTTCCCCTAGTCACACAATCCTCCAGGCAGAAAGCCTTGTGGACTTTGAACAAGCAGAAAGCACTGGAGGAGTGACTTTCTCAGCTGCCCTAAAGACGTTCAGCAGATGATTTTTCTAGAAGGGATGCAGCAGCCTCTTCCTGGGGCTGCTCTTGGCCATTACCTCTGCTCTGGCCTCCCTGGTGGCCCACCCTGGCTTGCAAGCGACCATGCTGGGCAGCCTTCACCTCTTCCTTCTGTGCCCTGGTCACTGTGGGCTGACCCCTGGGGCAGAACAAACAAATGTCATCGATTCCCAGGCTCTAGTGTGGAGGCTGCCCCTGTGCATCCCAAAGGGACGGGAGTATGAGGGCCCCAGAGGGTTCAGGAGGCTAAAGCCCCCACTACAGGTGCCCCAGTCTGGGAAGTCCTTTCTGGGACCCTGGGCCAGGCCCAGCAGAGCCCCTCTTGAGGGGGCCAAGGGAGGCGCTGGCCCTGAGCAGCCTCCAGATCCGGTCCTGTGCCCCCCGCGCTGACAGCTGCCCACAGGCTCCATGCAGAACCTCCCGTCAGACGGGAAGTGTCTTGTTCCAGCTGGCACGGCCTTATCGAACAGTCCCGGCTTTGTAAGTGTGGACAGCTGCGGGGAGAGGAGCTGGCTCTGGGGAGGTGTGGGGGCCGGGTCAGGAGCTAGACTAGGGAAGCTGAGGAGGGGGAGGTCAAAGCCAGCAGCATCTGCAAGTGGGTGGGGGGCCATGAAGGTTTGGTTTAGGGGACATCCCCCGGAAAGCTGAGCCCCTAAACAGGATGATGGGATGTGAGGCCAAATTGGGGAATGACCATGAAAGAGAGAGAAGTGTGTGTGGGGAAGATGGGAGGGGCTGGGCCTGGCCTCCAGGGCCGTTGCTCAGCTCTGGCACAGTCAAGAAGCTGTCTTGATATGGGCCACACTGAGGCACCACAAAACCAACAACTTCAGAGAGATGAGAGGGCTTCTATATGCCACCTACACACCCATCCACCCACTCATCCACCCACCCACACATCCATCCATCCATCCATCCATCCATCCATTTATCCATCCATCCACCCACTCATTCGCCCATCCATCCATCCACCCACCCATCCACCCATCCATCAATCCATTCATCCACCCATTCATCCATCCATCCACCCTTCCACCCACCCATCCACTTATCCATCCCTCCCTCCTTGTACCCATCCATCTACTAGTACATCTATCCATCCATCCATCCATCCATCCATCCATCCATCCATCCATCCATCCACTAATTCATCCATCCATGCATCTATCCACTAATTCATCCATCCATCCATCTATCCATTCATCCACTCAACCATCCATCCTTCCAACCATCCAACATTCATAAAAGGTTTGCACTAGGACACCTCAAAGACCCAGAAAATAATCAAATTGTCTCTGCCCTGTTGGGCATATATAGACACTTCCAGCTTGTATATATGAGCAGTGGAGGCAGGGGAGACAGAAGACAAATAAATCCCCCTGATGGGACAGGAAACTTCTATAGTTAAGAAGATGTAAACCCAGCCACTCACCCTAAGCTTCATTCTCTCATCTGAAAAGTGGGGATAAGGTGGTGCAATGGTAAACTGCTATAGTGTTAGATGAGATAATAGACACAAGGTATTTGTTACTGTGCCTGGCATGGAAGGTGCTAAGTAACCGTTACGATTATTTTTAGCATCACTGTTTCCATCGTTATTCTCTCTGTCTGAAGAGAATGGGAGGATGGGAGTGGGCAGTTTAGGAAAGCCTTCTCAAGTGGAGTCATTCGGACTGGGTGTGGAAGGATGAGTAGGAGTTCATTGGGTACTAGTATTGTGCTTCCCCACCAGCAGCCCACATTCATACTACACTTATCCCTGCCTCTGCATCATACTTCTCACCCTTACTCCTCCTCCCCAGGCCCCCTTCCTTTGAGTCCACCTCTAACCCTAACTCCTCCAGGAAGACTTCTTGCCTACCCCAGGCATTATCTTGCTCCTTCCTCTTGTCTTGTAGCACAAAGATCACACCACACATCAGGCCCTCAGAACTTCATTCTGAATTTTGAAATGCTTCAGCTTACTCTTCAGGATGGGGCAGAGTCTTCTCCTCACATCCCTTATATCTGGAGCCTCAGAGCTGGATACATTTGTTGGCTCTGCCCCAGGGGTCAACCAACAGTGACCAAGGCACAGAAGAAAGAGGTGAAGATCTAAATCTAGTCCCAGGAGGATATAGACCTATCTACAAACAGAAGCAGCCTCCTAGGACTTTGCCTGCATCTGCCTACAAGGTTAGTGCAGTTCCTACCTGGAGCAGCTCACAGTATAGGGAACAGAGGGATTAGGAGGACAAGGCTGAGAGTTTCTCTAGGGTAGATTTCATGTCCTAGTTAAACTTGAGTCTTCAGCACCAAGCACATAGAGTGGGTGCTAAGAATGGTTGGATGGATGGGTATGTAGGTGTATGTGTATGGTTAGAAGGATACATGGAAGGAGAAGTACATGGATGGATATATGGATGGATGGATGGATGGATGGATGGATGGATGGATGGATGGATAATGGTTAGATGAATGGATGATGGGTGATGGATGGACGGTTGGATGTGTGGATGATGGACGGATGAGTAGATGAATAAATGGAAAGTTAAACAATATAACCAGAATCTTTAGATTCTGATTAAACAATAGGACCAGGAACTTTGAGACTGTATAGATCAACCCAAATTAATTTACCTGATCAGTGTTTCTGAGTGTCTCTTTGTGCCAGATTTGTACGAGGTACTGGGGATACCACAGGGAACAAGATACAATCTATGACCTCAAGGAGCTTGGCATCTAGTTGAGAAGCTAGGAAACATGCAAATAAAGCTCAAACAAAATATTTTAAGGGTGATGACTGCCTGAAACTTACTGGGGAGAACTTTAGTTAGGGGTGTCAGCGAGACTTGATGAGAGAGTAACATTGGAACTGAGACCCGAATGGCAAGAGTCAGCTGTATGAAGATCTGGGGAAGACATGAGGACAGTTAAGTGCACTGGTCCTGAGGCAGGAGCAAAGTTGGACTTGTTCAATAATGTAAAAAGGTTTGAGTACTTGGAGTGGAACAAGAGAGGGAACTGTGGCCTGAAACTGCAGTAGAAAAACAGGACAGGACAGATCACACAGGACCTTGTAGGCCATGGCCAGAGGCATGGATTTTGTTCTGTGTAGGTTGGAAGGCACAGTAGGGTGTTAAACAGGAGGAGGAATGGTCTGAGTTCTGTAAAGGATCACTGTGGCTACTCCATGGGGCTACACAGAATGGCACATGAGGGGAAACCAGGAGGCAGTGAGAAGGCATCACCATGGACCAGGCTAGAGAGGGTAGTGGTGCAGCTGGGGAGATGGGGCAGGTTCAGGACATGTTTGAAGGTACAGACAACAGAGGTGATTTATAAACTGGCTGTGGGGGAAAAGGATGCTTCCCAGGAGTTTGACCTCAGCAACTGAACCGGCCTAACCCTAACCATAACCGTAACCCTCACTCTAACCCTAGCTGCCACCCACCCCCTACTCCTCTGCTGAGACTCACCGGAGCCTTGACTCCCAGGCTCAAGTGATCCTACCACCAATTGCTGTGGTGATAGAGTTGTTGTTTCTGATGATGGTGGCTGTGACAGTGGGTTATTTCCTCCATCAGCAGGCTCCTCCACCATGACAATGAGCTACTTCCAGCCATTTCCACGGACTCTGGAAGAAATTGGCTTGAAGAATAGCTGGACACACATCCAGTCTCAGAGCCTAGAGGTGAAACACACCGACTCTGGAGTCAGAGAGACCTAGGTTTGAATCCTAGTCCTACCACTTTCTCTCTCATCCTTATGTTAGTCACTTAACTTCTTTAGGTCTCCATGTTGTCACATGGAAAATGGAACTTTCCACCTCCTCGGGATGTTACGATGACTGATGTAACAAGCTCAGCACAGTGCCTGTACAGGTGAGAGCTCTGATAAAGACTGCTGTTAACAATTACCTCTCCTCTGACGGGGAGTTTATCACCCCATCTCAGCAGCCCTGCTCGTGTTCCTTGTTCCAACAGGCCCTGGGACCTGGGTTGCCAAGAGCAGCTCCTGACAGCTGCCACCCGCCCCCTACACTCCTCTGCTGAGGTTCCGGAGCCTAGGGGCATGGGGCATTGTGAAGGCCTCACTGGTTTTAGAATCATGCAAGATTATAGAGCACATTTTGCAAGAATGGGAGGAGGTGGAAGTAGTCCAATTCACGGTAGCTTTCCCAAAGTGGCTCTAATTGGCAGAGAACATCCCCTAAGGCACCTCTGTGCTCCATGAGGAGCTTGTAATTAGTAGGTGGGGATCCTGAGGGGCAAGGTTGACTGAGGCTTTGCTTGGGAGATGGAGCCCTCTGAGGGATGGGATTGAAAGGGTATTGTTTGCAGTCACATAACCTCTCTAGGGATCAGTATTTTGTTTGTTTGTTTGCTTGGTTGTTTGGTTTTACCTCCCCAATGGGGCATAGGCTGAAGTGAGGATCACACCAATGTCCACAGGCTTCCTGCATGAGTTCCTCCATTCTTACCTCTGTACTGATGACTTGCAGACCTCTCCCCAGCCCGGTCTCCCTCCTAGATTTCAGAGCCATAGCTTCCACTGTATGTGTTAATGTCTCTGTTTGGATATACTACAGACATTATGGTGGTTTCAAACTAAGGAATTCATTATCTCATTCAGTGACTTTTTCATTTCAGTTGTTATTTTCAGTTCTAGAATTTCCACTTGGTTCTTTTGATTGTAGTTTTTGTTTCTCTGCTTAGATTCCTTATCTGCTCCCTAATGACAATCATATTTTCCATTAATTTGTCAAGCATATTTTTCTCTAACTTTTTTGGACATATTTATGTTGCCACTTTGAATGATTTTTTTTCCCAAATCTGTTATTCAGGCTATGTCAGAATTGGTTTCTACGGACTGTTTTTGGTTTTTCTTTTGACTATGAGTCACATTTTCCTGTTTCTTTGTGTGTTTGATAATTGTTGGATTATATTTTGGACCTTGTGGGTGACAAGTTGCAGAAACTCTGGATTCTGATATCCTACTCTGGAAAGGTTGATTTTTATTCCAGGAGGCATTTCAATTACTGGTGGATTACTTGAGCTTGTGTAGTCTTGGTCTTATTATTTGTTATGACAGATCTGTGGGAAGCCTAACGTGTTTCCCAAATTTCTCTCAACTTGGTGAGAATCCAGCTCCAATATGCAAATCTTTTTGAGGCTTAGTTCTAAAGGCTTTGTTAGGGAAGATCTACAGCAGGCTTTACTCAAAAGTGTGGTCCTGATTACTAAGATGAGGCTTTTCTGGCCTTGCAGGTAGATGCCTGGGGTGTTAATGAGGTCTCTGAACTCTGGTTAGGAAAGAACTCCAAAGTCCCCGAGCACTGCTTGACATCTGGAATCTCTGTTTCACTCTCAACGTTAGAGGAGCCATTCTTCATTAAGCCTGAGGTGGTCTCACCAGCACTCAGGGCCCCTCAGCTGGACTTCGTCCTCCTTCCCCCATGCAGCTCCCTCTTCTCCAAGGCCCTGCCTTGAAGATTCTAGGTGCTTCAGTGATACAGGCTGAATGTTTGTACCCTACTAATCTCATGTTGAAATGCAATCCCCAGTGTTTGAGGTGGGGCCTGGTGGTAAGGTCATGGGGGTAGATTCTTCATGAATAACTTAGTGCCATCCCCTTAGTAATGACTGAGTTCACGTGAGATCTTGTTCAAAAGGGTGTGGCACCCGCCTCCTCTCTCTCTTGCTCCTGCTCTTGCCATGTGATGTACCTGCTCCCACTTCACCTTCCACCATGACCCTCCTGAGGCCCTCACCAGAAGCAGATGCCAGCACTATACTTCCTGTACACCCAGCAGAACTGTGAGCCAATTAAACCTCTTTTCTTTATAAATTACCCACTCTCAGGTATTCCTTTATAGTAAAGCAATGGACCAACACATTCAGCTATTCCAGACTCTAGTCTCTGCCCGCTCTGAACGCAGTGTGAGGGCCACTGTGTTCAATGTGGATTCCAGCTCACTGTACCATGAGGCAAACTCATCCCCAGTCACAGATCCAGGAAGATCATGGGGCTCAGCTCATGCTTCTTTCTTCTTCTTTTGGGGATTGCAAGCTTGTTCTGTCAGGGATACAGTGTTGGCCTTCTGTACTCTGTCCAGTCTTCTGAGTGCGTATAGCTCCAGTTACTATGCTATGACCAGACATGAGTAATGCACATTTTTACCCAAAACCTTCCTCTCCCATATTCTTCATCCACTCATTTCTCCAAAATAGAACCTTTGCCACCGCCCTCTCTATCACTTCCTATGGGCGATTCATCTGCAAAATTGGCTCCTTTGACATTTCACTGGAGCCCTTGGGTCTGTCAAACTTTTCTTCTCTCCTCCCCTTGCCCAGGTCCAGGCCACTGCCTGTCCTCACTAGGACCAACCAACTGCCTCCTCGCTGGCCACCAGCCTCCAGTCTTGCTCTGCTCTGGTCCATTCCCCACCAAGGAGCCAGAGGCCCCCTTTAAACCTGCAGATCTGACATTGACTCTGCCTTACATAAAACCCAAAGTTGTCGCCTTGGCTGGCAAAATTCTCGAAATCTGCAACCCCCACCTAGCTCTGTCCCCGTGTTATTGCCACTTTCCCACATTCCTGCCACATGGATCTATTTTCAGCTCCTAGATGCCATCAGGCCACCTGTTGTCTGGGATTCCTTACTCCATGTGTGACTGCTGTCCCTGGATATTCTGTCCAGCAAGCTTTCCAGTGTAGTCCATTGTCACCCCCTCTTCCAGGCCAAGTGAGGCCTTTCTTTACGTGCAGGCACAGTGCCTGTGTTTCCTCCCTCAGGAGGCTCTGAGCTCCGCTAAAGCAGGAAGGGAGGTGGGTTCACCACACTTCCCAGAGCCTGGAGGACACGCCCCCTTACTGTTTGAAGAGGGAGTCAATGTCGAAAGCTACAGAGGGGCAGGAAGGCGGAGGTGTTTGTGTACCACGATGTTGGACGTGGAGCCTGGGGACTTCCCAACATGGATGCAAGCTCTGCAGAGGGAAGGGATGCTCCACAGGCTGACCATTGGCAACGATTCTGGGGGTTCTGCTAGTACCCACAGGGAAAGTGGTGGTGACAGCTCCTTGCAGAAGCATGAGAACAGCCCAGGATGAAGGGGTGTGTATAGATGGGGCCATGTGCACATTGGTTCCCAGAGATACTTCCAGGGCCACCTGCAACCCCTTGAGGACCTCCAGACCCGCTGTAAGACCTGAGGTTGGAAGGATTTCATGCTCCCCCTGGCCGCTGCCACCTGTCTCCCCAACTTTGACCACCTATCACCCCATCCAATGATACCCTCCTTTGGTGGGAAACTCCAGCAGAGACCTCCTCAACTTCCGGCCTCAGGCGTTTCTCCTTCTCGCCACCAACTTCCCACCCCCGGGAAAGTCCACATTCCTGAGCTAGACATTCACTGGGGGAATCACTACCTGGTGCCCTGTGTGCAGATAGATGCCAGGGCAGGAGGGGTCCTCCCTCCCCGGAGTTGTGTCCTCCCCCTGCAGGCTGTGCACGGTGCTCCCAGCCTGCCTCCCCAAAAGTCGTAGGTAACTGTCAGGTCTGTCACTGCAACACCCACACAATTTGGGTCTGGATAAACAACAATGGGGGATCCTTCAGGGGATGGAGAAAGTAATTGAGGAAAAGAAAGAGAAGTGGGACTTAGGAGAGTGGTAGGGAGAGACAGGCCGTTAGTGAGGGAGGGAGAGAGTGAGAGGTGTGGACAGACCCTGTGTCAATTCCAGAGGTAACGCTGACCACCCCCAGGGCAGGGCAGAAGCCAAGAGACAAGAAGAGAGGAACCCAGGGAGCATTTCAGCCCAGGCTGAGGAGGCCCCAAGAGTCCCTGCACCCCAGGAGTGCTGTGGGTGTGCAGGGCAAGAACCCCTGTGCCGGAAATGCCTTCTTTTGCCCCTCCAGGCCTGCCCTCTGCCCTGCTCTCTGCTTCAGGGGCCGAGCCTGATGGACCCATTCCTCAGCTCCCATGCCCTCTGGCTTCCTGTTGGGAGTGCCCCAGCTGCAGGTAAAAGGGAGAGGGGAGGGTGAAGTCAGAATATTCACATCACAGCATTGAAAGCAGCTTTGGGGTCACCTTGGGCAGGCTGTGTCCCTAAACTGAAGGTCTTAAACTTCTCCCAAGGCAGGCCCCTCTCCAAGATTCCCTCCTTTCCAGGTTCTGGGATGGCTTATGCCTTCCCTTAAACCTTCAGCCTCAGGGTGGCCGCAGCCCTGGGGCGTGGGCTGTGGTGCACCTGCCTGCCCAGATGGTTTCCCTGTACCCAGTCGTTCTTTCCTAGTGGAAACCTGACACTTCCTCATTCTGTGGCAGCCTAGGAGGGTGGTCTGTACCCCAGAGAGGCCTCCAGCTGTGATGTGCCACTGCCTCCTCATGCAGGAGGCTTTGATGGGGTACACTCTAAACACCCCCAGGACTACCCAGGCATCCTCCCGGAAAGCTGGGTGCAAGCCAGAGCAGGGCTCCCCGGTCCACGAGGGTGCAGCAGATGGAAGGCCAGCCTGGTGACCACGTGGTGACAGCACAGGGCAATGATGACTGCAGGCTCTGGGGTCACAGGGATTTTGGTTCAAGTTCTGCCTCTACCTGTTACTCATTGTGCACCGTTGGGGTGCCCCACATCATCTTTCTGAGGCTCAGTTCCACCTAGAGTTCCATAAAGAATTCAGCAAGAGGCCGAATGTGAAGCCTCCAGCCCCAGCTCCAGCTCGCAGTGGCCCCAGCACACGCTGATGGGGCACGTATTCCCAGCTGCCCTGTTGGTTTTCCTAAGTGAATCGCTGCTGAGTCAAAGTTAGCAGGTCCCCAAAGTAGAAACTTTGTCAGATCCCAAAGAATGTCAGCCCCAGTGACTCACGTGTGTTTC